TTTTATAATAAATACATGCTCTATAGGTCTTCCGTTTTGGCTCACTTATTTTATATGCATAGTGCTTTCCTGTTTTGTCAGCGTATTTTGAAATTACATTTTATTTAAGAATTTTGTTATGGTTATTTCTTTGAAATGATTTGTTGACACCCTCCGAATTTTTTCATCTATTTGGATCGCTGTAAAGGTAATATTTATTGGGCCTTCTACGTGAGTGTTTATTTAAACTGAGTCGATTTTAGACCTTGGGCGTATAGTAATATTCGTATAGTTTGGTTTTAGTGTTTGAAATGCTTATCAAGGCGCTTCAGCATTTGCAAAATTTTTTACGTATTCTGGCGAGTTCGGAATTTAGAGCAAATTCTCTTCTGATAACGCTATTTTATATGTTCAGTCTACTTATTTAAATAACTAGTAGTATGCTTTGAATTCTTTTACATATGATGTCTTGTTGACTTGTTTTAGTGGACAATAGGCCATACATCTGCCTGTAGTAATTTTAACCTTTCAATTTCGTAACTATCGCTGAGATTTATATTTCAAGAAAAATCAAAACTTTCGTTCCCAATTATGAATTGCAAAGTTGTCATAAGATTAAATTAACGCCAAACTAAGAGGGAGGCATTTCGAATAACGATGAAGCATGAAACTGCGTCACTCACCCTATTTAAGATTTCTTTGCGAATCAAAAATGAATTTCTTGTTTTATGTTACATTTAGGACTCCAGGAATACCCCAGAGACTCCCTTAATTCGCGAATCCGTAAAAATATGCGAAACAAGTCCATTTGTGTCTTGCTTGTGTGGAGGTATTTTTTTCCCTTTAGACGTGGGGTAAAATGGTGTTGGACACTTGATTGCTTTGGGATGAGGAATTTATCGCACTTAACAGTCGGCTATTGAGGACATTCCTCTTCAAATATTTTTGTCGAAAGCCACCTCTCGGAACACAACTATCGACTTATGAAGCATGGCCTTTTGAGAAAGGGTCGTCAATTTCCTTTCCAGATAATATTTACTGCGACTTATTTGAAGAGAGTAGGGTTGCGTTTCATCTCATTTCAAATACGCTCGATTTACTTTTGCGCGAAAGTAACTGCACAAATACCACCTCCATTTAAGCAGTCTGTTATGGGTGTCCGATTATTAAAATCCGTTTCTTTTGGTGTACACTTCCAGCTAATCCAAACCCCCTTACATTTTTTAAGAACTTTCTGTTGCTGTCTTGACTGTTTTCGAAAGAATGTGGTCCTTCCATTTTTGCAAGAATCTTGTGAACCCATAGCCAGCTTCTTTGAAGAGGAAAATTAACATTTCTTGGTCGATTTTTAGGTTGACTGTAAACAGATTCATATCTGCTAAATTGCCCGTATTTTTAAGAAGTTCCTGAAAAAGTAGTTTGAAGTATTCTATTTTCTTTAAATGCAATATTAATTGCAATGGGCCCTTTAGGCAGTCAATTGAAGGCAGACCATAGTTGGTGCTTATATATCCCCTCTAATGGTTAAGTTGAACATATTAGTATTCTCTTTAATCAACTTTTGTCCAGCCCATTTTAACAGAGTGAATCTGATTTAGGGGAGTTCGAATATTTAAGCGGGAGGCTCCATAAAATTGAATAAGCGCTGCAATTTGCTACACTTTAGACGGTTTTAGAGAAATGCGTGGGAAACATAACTCCTGCTATTTAACCATGGATTGAAAATTAAGCTGGTGTATGCTCGTAGTGGTGTCTCCACCTACGCAAACATCTCGGTTCTGTGGGACACGTCATCGCATGCCTGCACGCCAGGATTGGGAGGTGCGACCGTACAAACAGTGACCAATCATTAACCTCTGTTTGTTTAACCTAATCCGCCATCCTGATCATGATTATGCTTCCTGCGTGTACACTTTATCCGCAACATATCCACTGAATAAACGTGCTCCGTGCTACACGTCTGTTTTCTTCATAGCTGGGCTATAGCTTAGCTGGTTCTGGGAGTCAAGCCTATAGCTGGGCTATAGCTTAGCTTATTCTGGGAGTCTAGCGTAGCTGGGGTATAGCTTAGCTGGTTCTGGGAGTCTAGCTAGATGTGGGCTATAGCTTAGTTGGTTCTGGGAGTCTAGCTAGATGAGTTTCCCTTATAGCTAGGCTATAGCTTAGCTTGTTCTGGGAGTCTAGCTAGATGTTGGAAATCTTGCCATCGAGATTTCTGAGTCAGTCAGGCTTTACTAAGGTGTTTAGCTGGTTCTGGGAGTCTAGCTAGATGTAGGAGGATCTCCCATTGAGATTTCTGAGTCAGTCAGGCTTTACTAGCGTAGCCAGAGATTTCTGAGTTAGTCAGGCTTTACTAGAGTAGCAATATTTCTGAGTCAGTCAGGCTTTACTAGCGTAGCAATCCGTGGAGCTATAGCTTAGCTGTTCTGGGAGTCTAGCTAGGTGTTGGAGAATCTGCCATAGAGATTTCGGTCAGGCTTTACTAGCGTAGCAATCCGCTACAATGCAATCCGGTCAGGCTTTACTAAGGTAGCAATCCGTTACAATTCTCAACCGGTCTGGCTTTACTAAGGTAGCAATCCGCTACAAGTCTTTAACCAAGGCTTTACGAAGGTAGCAATCCGCTACATGTTCGAGACTTAGGGAGCAATCCGCTACAAGTCTACAAAACAATATACATAACTAGCGTAGCAATCCGCTACAAATTGGTAATCGCCTTAGTGCCTTCCGAGATAGCATGTTTGGCCGGCTCACCAGGCAATACCAGCTGTCTGAATCTCGCGACTAGTCAGAGTGCTTTTCCTATTGTAGTGAATCAGTTTGCCTGCCTCAGAGGCTATGCGTTCAAAGATATCAATCACGAAGGAGTTCATGATAGACATGGCCTTTGAAGAAATGTCTATATCGGTGTGAACTCGACGAAGGACCTTGTAGACATAAAGGTTGAAATTGTCCCTCCTTTTCTTACTTCTTTTATGTCCTTTTCGTTCTTTGGGTCCTTCCGTGGTTGGGGCCTCCTTCGTCCTAAACACCTGAGCTTTACCTTTTGGAGCCATCTCTTGAAATTGCAAGAACGAATCCAACGATAGGGGAGGAGTATTGTGGGACTCGTCATCGCATGCCTGCACGTTGCGTTTCGAATGTCCATCTCTACGAGATTCAAGAACCTCGTCCTTGTACCCAATGGAGAGAACAGCCGGGATACGTTACTCTTCGAAAGCCTACCCTTACAGGTCCCCAAAACTCCAACTCACAACTCCATTTCAACCGGCAAGCCCTGACCAATCGTCAGGCAAGCACACGCCGGAAGATTTCGACCATGGATAGTCGCAACCAAACATCCGTTCAACAAGAACGTTCAACACCGATCATTGCATATGAAGGAACATCCAACGGGGCGCTCGTCAGGGGACCAAATACTGCCTCACTCGCTCAGCCGGCAAGGTCCACAAGCATACACGAAGTCCACATTCCTACTGCCTACAACTCCAACAATCCGGTCTCAGCAGTTCCAACACCTATCCCACCTCTACCCAGAACCCTGTTACTCTAAGGCCGAAGATCTACCTTCCCCTCTCAACTAGTTGATTTCGTACATTAACTAATTATCGAGCGTTTTCTTCACTTTTCAGCTTCCTACTAACGCTCTAGGGGAGGAGTATTGTGGGACACGTCATCGCATGCCTGCACGCCAGGATTGGGAGGTGCGACTTGACCAATCATTAACCTCTGTTTGTGCTACCGTACAAACAGTGATCAATCATTAACCTCTGTTTGTTTCCGTACAAACAGTGACCAATCATTAACCACTGTTTGTTTAACCTAATCCGTCATCCTGATCGTGATTAAGCTCCCTGCGTGACACTTTATCCGAAACATACTCGCTGAATAAACGTGCTCCGTGCTACACGTCTTTTTCCTTCATAGCTGGGCTATAGCTTAGCTGGTTCTGGGAATCCTTTCATAGCTGGGCTATAGCTTAGCTGGTTCTGGGAGTCTTTCATAGCTGGGCTATAGCTTAGCTGGTTCTGGGAGTCAGCCTATAGCTGGGCTATAGCTTAGCTTATTCTGGGAGTCTAGCGTAGCTGGGGTATAGCTTAGCTGGTTCTGGGAGTCTAGCTAGATGTGGGCTATAGCTTAGTTGGTTCTGGGAGTCTAGCTAGATGAGTTTCCCTTATAGCTAGGCTATAGCTTAGCTTGTTCTGGGAGTCTAGCTAGATGTTGGAAATCTTGCCATCGAGATTTCTGAGTCAGTCAGGCTTTACTAAGGTGTTTAGCTGGTTCTGGGAGTCTAGCTAGATGTAGGAGGATCTCCCATTGAGATTTCTGAGTCAGTCAGGCTTTACTAGCGTAGCCAGAGATTTCTGAGTTAGTCAGGCTTTACTAGAGTAGCAATATTTCTGAGTCAGTCAGGCTTTACTAGCGTAGCAATCCGTGGAGCTATAGCTTAGCTGTTCTGGGAGTCTAGCTAGGTGTTGGAGAATCTGCCATAGAGATTTCGGTCAGGCTTTACTAGCGTAGCAATCCGCTACAATGCAATCCGGTCAGGCTTTACTAAGGTAGCAATCCGTTACAATTCTCAACCGGTCTGGCTTTACTAAGGTAGCAATCCGCTACAAGTCTTTAACCAAGGCTTTACGAAGGTAGCAATCCGCTACATGTTCGAGACTTAGGGAGCAATCCGCTACAAGTCTACAAAACAATATACATAACTAGTGTAGCAATCCGCTACAGTTCTCCTTCAGAGCTTCTCCTAGCTTAATTAAACCGCCCGAAATTATAACCTAGGCTAACCTATAAAATGAGGGCGTGTGTTCACACGACCCCTGGTTTACTACCCCCTTATAATTGTAAAGTCCATCTTTAAATATCTTCCCTTGACTTCATCCATCCCAGTTTTACTAGATATTCCCGCATACGAGTTGGCGGCCGGGAGGCATGATGCACCTGTAATGTCGTTGGTCATTGAAGACCCAAAACCATTTAGCAATGATGTTAACTTTATGTCAGAAGGGAAATTGCGTAAAATCGCATTGCATTAAGACAGTATTTCGCTGTTACTTAATATTGTAGTAAAATGAAGTCAAATCACGTGAAACTATCTTTCTACCCCTTAACTTTCAACGTATAGGTAATTTCAGCAATGGCCTCGAATCTATAGTCGCAGATCTTTTCATTGGTAGAGATGGTGACGCCATATGTACGCTAAAACTAAATGAAACCGATCGTTTTTTCCAGTACTTTAGTAGAGTATTTTGATTGCTATTTTCCTTACACAGATTATAACGATGACACTACTGAGGCATTATTATATATATGTTCTAAATCAGACTAAACTCGTAGTGGTTTTACCAATAATTTCAAATTTTTAATTGCTTTCAATGAGCGATTCCAGGCACTAAGCCAGTCCAACGTACTGCGAAACATAAACAAAATATAACTTATATAATTGTGGGATGTGCTAAGGATAAACGATCTCTTGCTTAAACCACCTCAAGAATATCGAGGAAACAGGGCGTATGGTGGGAATAGTGTTTGCTTTGTTTGCGCGTCACTGTCACGGGGCTTAGTCATTAGAATATAATTCTGGATGCTGATTGGCTGAGAATTCTCCGCACTCACGACCACACTTGCTTTCTTCGCAGTCAGTAGCACGCGCACCCCTGTTCAGCCCTAGTGGCATGGCACTCAACGCTACTTATCGGCTAAGATCACTACCTTATTTCAGTGAAACAAATCCACAGTTGGGCAAAACATCGCAATCAAAATTTTTATTTATATTTATTTCAAATGACAAGCGTTTTGATAGTTATCATTAGCCATTTAGCTGACTTCGGGCTTCACAGAGAGAAGGAGGAACAGCAAAGTGACAAAAAATCGAGAGGGGGGAGAGAATAATGATTCACAGATGTAACAGAGACAGACAAAAAGGCAAAGAAAAGGTAAGATGAGCACTGACATACAGTGGGGTAATGGTAGTTTGAAGTCAGAAGCCAACTGCCGGTTTATAGACTAAATTGCCTTATGGGTATACGTTGCCCGAGGTGCACCACGTGGAGGTAAGTCTATCGCAACAGCAGTGTAATTCCTGATGGCTCAAGTCCGGTAACGCCTCTCTTCGAAATACCCCTTAAAGCAATTCATGGATTAATTTCTCACATCACCGAGATTCGCGATTTGTTAATGACACCCAATAACCACGCGACCTGATTCTCCTTTTTGAACCCTTTAATTGCCACTTTAGTGAACGTGAGATGGATCACCTGAATATTATCCACTTTATCACCTAAACCGTGGGTCATATCAAAATTGACTGCACAGAATTAACCCTCTTCTCCCATGATTCACTAGTGCATTTTTGATCTACAAGAAAAGAACCCCACTCAAAATCACAATTATTCTATTTTAATTAAACAAGAGTGCAAGGATTCTCGAATTAAGGTTGAATTGAGTTGATAAGGCCACACGCACATATATACTTGTATCCAAGTCACAAAAGACGAAAATGAGAGATATAAGCGATCCAACTAGAATGAGTCCGAGTCATCGCCCTCATCATCTGAAAGGTACTGGCGTCGTTGCGAAAGAAGCTTATTCAGAGCATCGCTGAGAGAAGCTTCCAGACCCTTGGTTTCATCATTTGCTGCAGCTGGAGTCGACGATGGCTGTGACGAAACCTATTCAAGAAAGGAAACACGCAGTCAGTACAATAAAAACCAAGGCAGAATAGATGAACGTGGAATCGGTATCGGCATAAAAGATAGGGCATATTTTTCCTGGATGCAATAGATAAAATAACAGTTGACTAACAACAATATAATTTGC